AGAAAGAGAGAAAGAGAGTACAAAAACAAAGGAGGGGCAACAATGCTTGATAAGAAATGTACTCATTACCTTTCTCATGTAATTGTAACCCCTCTTACAATAAAAAACTTATTAAAAAGAAAAAGAAAGAAAGTGTGTAAGATGAAACAGAAATGGAGGGGGAAGGGTAATTTACAAAATCATCGTGTTTGAAAAGTATTAAAATTCTAGGCATTTTTATATTGCAAAGCAATTTCTAGAATTTCCTTAAGACCAAAGTAGGTATTTCTTCTTCACATGCTTTTGCTAGGCTTTGAGATCTAAAAACTTCATCTATTAGTTTTCCAAGGTTACCTTGAAGTTGAACTGACATTTACAACACAACTCATGATAAACCTAATGATAAAATCCATTTGTTGGCATTAAAAATAGTAAGACTGTACTGAGTATAGGGAACATTCTTTTTTTGAATACTGTACCTAAAACTTTATAAAATTGTTATCTATCTATCTATCTATCTATATGTCTTTGAATTGCTAATAAAATAATACATTTAAAAAGAGGTTGTAAAATTTTCTTAATCCTACAACTATGTTGTATATAATATTAAATAAAAATGATAGTAAAGAGACATAGTTTCTTGGTTCAGTTAAGGACAGAAGAAATCTATTTTTTGTTTTGAGTCCACAAAAGGTCAAAATAAATAGTAACTTGACCTTTGCTTTCCAGAAGAAAAGCGATTTGAACATACGTCTCATTTGCCTGTGATCTTTTCCTAAAGGAGGCTCTATTAAGAATTGAATTCCATATCCCTTCATCTTTTCTTGAAAACAGTGTCTGCTTTCCTAGAAATCTGTTATCTAATCATTGGCCTGACAGGTTTCTGCAGAATTCTGTAAAAGGTGTAATACCTTTTCCTCTAGGCTTCTTTTTGCTGGGTAAAGGTGAGTATTTCCTGAAATATGGAGAGCTGATTAGGTTTTAGGCTGACAGTTAAATGTTCTAAAGCAAATCTAATTTACTTTTTCACTTTACTTGGCTTTTCTATTACTTTAAATGGCTCTACCATCATCTTTAGGAAAATTGAATCCAGCTTACATATTTTCCTTTCCCATCTGTCACCAGGCTTTGCTCTCGAGTTCGCTTGTTTTCTCCTCACTGGTTTTATCCCAGCCTGGGGCTGCTTTACCTTGTAATACAATGAGTACACTAAGCATTTTCTTTTTCTTTTCAAAAACTGATGTCCCCTTCCCCTAGTGCATTACTCATTACATAACCAAGAGTAATTTTGAACCTCTCTTAAAGTTTCATCTGTATAAGACTTATTAGGGTTGTTGGAGGAATTAAATCAGCTAACACATGGAAAGCATTAACACACAGTGTCAGCACAGAGAAATACTATTTTTGATCTATAAAAATCTAGCAAACCTCGAAAACCACATAGAGAAAAATGTAGAAATCACCCAAACTCTTGCTACTCTGAGATTAGTACTGATGCATATTAATATAATATAACCAATTTTTCTTTAAGTTATGTAGTATACATGAACTACTTTGTGATCTGTTGTTGTTTTGATTTTTTTTTTTTGGTGGTGAGGGAGGCATTACTGGTTTTGAAGCCCTACCTCTTGATCCACACTAAAATGTAGCAATTTAGCATTCTTCCGTAACATGATGTGTAATAGCTGTGTTGTATTCTATTGTATGGATAAGTTGTAATTTAATCTACCAATTTATAGACAGATTTTCATTGCCATAAGCAATATCTTGGTAAGCATGTTTGCTTTGTGCTTACCTTTAAATCTCCTTAAGACAGATCCATAGAATGACAATTGCTGGGTAAAATATGTAAGCTATTTTTAAAATTCTTATTTGATACTGATTCATTTTTCTTTGGCAAAAGATTATGGGATTTGTTGTCCAGCCACAACGTGAAAAGCCAGTCTTCCTTTCCTTAAGATTTCCTACTTTTCTGTTTCAATTTAATTCCATTTTTAGTGCCTCTTAAATTCAGGTTTATGTCTTCTCATTCTTCTCTATGAACTCCTACTTATTATTTCAATTGCTTTTCTGTCCTCCAGTAGATGCCTCTTCTCTCAGAATCGGTCTTTAAACTCCACCAGACTGATTTCCTGAGTATTTCTCTATGTCCTCTCTCCTATCTTCATTCCTTTCCCTAGAGGCTGCTCAACATATATCATGGCTCCTGTATTGAAAAAGCATATTAAGATATCTCAAGATTCTTGCCTATTTTTATTGCTTTATAAAATGTATCTTTTCCCGTGTTTCATGGGTGTTTTGTTTGCACATCAAGATCACAGGTTCCTTTATGGTAGAAACTTGTTCTCCCAACAGTGTCAAGTTTAATATGCTTCACTTGGTAGACAGTTCATAAATTAGAGCTGGGCTGGCTGGCAGGATTTCTGTTTAAGATGAATTGTTAAACATTTAGTATCTTTTAAACACACTTTTACATGCCCTGTATCTTTATCAATCCTCCCTCCCTCCCTCCCTCTCTCCCTCTCTCCCTCCCTCCCTTTCTCCTCCCTTCCCCCCCCCTTTCTTCTTTCTTTTTGTGCTGGTCCTGGGGCTTGAACTCAGCTCCTGGGCATTGTCTTGAGTATTCCAGTTATGTTTTTGAATGAAAGCTCATGCTTGAACTTCAGGTAGCACTGCTATTTGAGCGTATTTAGAGCATTCCCTCAGTCAGTACAGCGGTATTTATAAATACCTTAACAGACTAATACTTTACCTCAAGTTGTTCTCTTTTGTCTCCCTTAAGATTCTTCCTAGCAGCAAGAACTCTATATGGGGAAGTTACATTGCTCTGGAAATGAAATGCCAAAATATAGGTCCACCAGTAGTCAAATATAGAGAAATTGTCTCAAGATCAGTATCATGATTATATCTCAAATAATACCATCAGTAGACTCAACTGGGAGGAAATAGGTCATGAGCTTTCAATATAAAATACATCAGTATTTATAAAATGTGATGAAAGATGGAACTGCTTTCCTGTACCACACAGGTATCTCAAGGAAGAAAATTGTTAAAGACAGACGTAACACTGAATTGCAAAGTAGTGTGGGTTTAAGAACAGTTCTTCAGCAGTGTCAGAAGATTGCTTTCCAGTGTGAGGAGAAAATTGTTATTAAACTCTAGAATTAAATATGTTATGCTAATGTACTGAGTCCATTTACATTTTATGGAATAATTTTATTTGTTCTGCACTAGCTGGCTGGCAAAGAAATTGAGCAATATTTGGTGATATTTTAATGTTGTAATTTCATCAGCATCTGACTTATTGAATCTGAATATAAATCTGGGAATAGAAAATGTTGAGTGCTATCTTTAGCTACTCCAAGGACTGAGATACCAACTTTTTCCTACCACTTCTCCATGTACTTTTCTAAGAAGTCACTTGTCACTTGTTCTGGCAAGTTTCTTGCATCTTAAATCGAGCTAACATTTACAAGGAAAGCTATGAAGGTTAAAGAAATATATTTTAGAAGTAATTTTTTAAAATTACAGTAATCAGAACAGGAAAACAATATTGAAGTATAGAAAGTAAAACCTTTCTTCAGCAACTGAAGTATATCTTCCCATATCTCTTCCATATGTAATGATAAACAGTACATCCTATCATGTATGTACGTTAGCTAAAACGATATGCCATCCCTAGTACTTTGTACTTTGTTTTATAATTAATAGTTTATCATGATGCCCTGATTAACACACATACTCCTATCCCATAATTTCCAAAGGTTATAGAACATATTGTTCTATCAGTGAAAAAACACAACTTTTTTTTTCATGTGCACAAAATATGTAGATATATATATATATATATATATGTATGTTACATTTGTCTGAATGAGTCTCTTTCTCTTTGTCTATGTCTCTTTCTCTGTCTCTCTTTCTCTTTCTGTGTTTGGTGCCAGTACAGGACTTGAACTAATAGCCTTTTATTCTTGCTTGGCTTTTTTGCTAAAGGCCAATACTCTATCTCTTGAGATATACCTCCAGTTCCAGCTTTTTTTTTTTCTGATTAATTGGAGATAAGAGAATCTTGGGCTGGTTTTGAACCTTGAGCCTTAGTTCTCAGCTTCCTAAGTAACTAGGACTACAAGTGTGAATCAGCAGCACCTGGTTATGTATGTATATATTTTTAATTGTTTTATAAAGGTGATATGCAGAGGGCTTACAGTTACATCAGTCAGGTAGTGTATATTTTAGCTCATATACTTTTCTTTTTTATTTTTAGACAAATACCACTGATAAATAACATTGAATTTTTTTTTATCTTGAACAGTATCAAATGTGTGTATATGTATGTGTGTGGATAAATGTCTTCCAGTGTCCAAGGGGAGCATTGTACCTACTTGTCAATCACCTAGAAATGGCTAGTTGAGTTGAAAGTATATTGTGCAAGTAGCAACAAACAAACAAGTGAACCAAAAAAGTTACCAAAAACAAATTAAGAAAATACACACATCAATATAAAGGTTAAGGCATTCTGTGGTAACTGTTGAGTTTTTCAGATTACAGCCATCTGTGCCTTAGATCCCTTTGTTTTTTTCTTCATTCACTGTTGCACTGTGAGTCCCAGCGGATGGTTTTCCTTCCAGTTTGCAGGAGTTACTGGAATGAGCATTAGTGAATGGGGAATGGCCAGGTACAGTAGGGAGGTGGCTGCTGAGGTAGATAGTCTTCTGTGAGTCAGATTTGTACCAGCAAAATTATACTGGGGCCTGTGGACTTTACTGAAATAGTTCAAAGGGCGGAGTACTACCTCTGAGACCATCAAACCCAGTTCATCATCTTTTATACCTTTAAGCCTGGTAGAGAACTTGTAGAGGTCTGTGTGAATCTGTCTGTTGGGACACCTTCCCTAGGTGCAGTGAGTCAGGATCAAAGTGACAAGGATGTGCGTGTCTTGGTTCAATGTGCTTTGAGTTCTTGATACAGCATGTGATGTTTAAAATGCAAAGTACTTATGGGATTCTCTGTTTTCTTTACAGACGGCAGCTGAATATGTGAAATCTCGACTCCCAGAAGCCCTCAAACAGCATCTTCAGGACTATGAGAAGGACAAGGAAAACAGTGTGTTGTCTTATCAGACCATTCTTGAACAGCAGATTCTATCAATTGACCGGGAAATGCTAGAAAAACTCACTGTTTCCTATGACGAAGCAGGTATGTTTGTTTTTTTAATCTACACAGACACATGTAATTTTTTCTCCTCTGCAGAATTTCTGTGTAGACCTTGGTTAAATGTAGACTTTTTTTCTGAGGTAGATGGTTAAGGGCAAACTAGATTCAAATAATGTTTCTTCTCTGTAGTTTGACTGCCATAAGTTTTTTTTAGGAGATTCTAGAAATGGCTCTTCAATATCAAATCCCTTTAAATTTTTGCTCTTTCTTAAATGGAATGGTCCTGGTCATTTATCAACTGTGTCCTTCTATTGATCTGCTTTTTGTGTGTGTGTGGGGCGGGGGGGGAGTCAGGTCGTGGGGCCTGAACTCTGGGCCTGGGCACTGTCCCTCAGCTCTTCAGCTCAAGGCTAGCGCTCTACCACTTGAGCCACAGCACCACTTCCGCCTTTTTTCTTTTTGCTTATGTGGCGCTGAGGAATCGAACCCAGGGCCTCATGTGTGCAAGGCAAGCGCTCTACCACTGAGCCACCTTCCCAGCCCTTGATCTGCTCTTCTAAGGTATCACTTTGGTTTTGGCTATCCACTGAAAACTTTTATGTCTGAAAACCCAAGTACTATTAATTGAATCAAATATATTTTTTAAATGTATTACACATTTTCTGTTCTAAGGAGAGACTATTTTTTCCCTTGTAGTTTGAAGACGAATTTGGCTTTCTTTTTCTTTACACATCAAATGAAACCTACTCCCTAAATAGTACATCTAAGATTCTGGCTTCTTATTCATGAAGTTGTAGACATACCTTCATGTGATGTCATTTTTATATTAGGTTGTGGGCTAAGGTCCAATTTTAATGAAACTATTGTACTATTAGAATTATTAAAATATTAAATTGAATTTACAAAGCAGAACATCCCAAGTAAATTTTCTCTACTTTCCCTCACCAAAGAAACAGCAAAGTAAAATATATAGGAAAATGAATTTCTGATGGTCAAATGTTGATTTTTTTTCCATTGTTAACATTAAATTTTTTTCCAACTTCACAGGTTTTACAAAGGGTTTACAATCGAACATGCCCACTTAAATTGTCCAGTGCTTTTTAATGATCATGCCTTCCATCATTGTCCCTCATGCTCCCTGCCCCTTTCCTCAACCTCACTTTACATTTCCTACTTCCTTTATCACATGTGTACATTGAGTATTCTGACTGTATTGGTTCCTTTTTTTTTCATTCACCTCTCCCACTGTCTTCCCCCCCATGCAAACTTGTTTCAGCTTCCTGATAATCATTTTATTAAACTGTCAATGTTCAAAAGGTTTACTCCATGGAGTTTAACTTCTGCATATACAATATTTTAGTTAGCTTGCTTATGTATATAAGCATCTACCTGTACGTGTGTTTACATGGGAGGTTGTGTTTTGGGTCTCATATTTACATATGAGAGAAAACGTGCCCCCCCTGGCTTTCTGAGTCTGGCTCCCCTCAGTATGATGCTTTCCAGATCTTTCCATTACTCTGCAAATGACATAATTTCATTCTTCCTGATGGCTATGTAAAGTTCTGGTGTGTGTGTGTGTGTGTGTGTGTGTGTGTGTGTGTGTGTGTGTGTGTGTGTGTGTGTGTGTGTGTGTGTGTGTGTGTGTGTGTGTGTGTCTTTCTTCTGTTATAGAGTATGTGGGCTGCTTCCATACATTGGCTGTTGTAAATTTGCTGCAATGAGTATAGATGTTACAGGTTCTTTTGTTGGATCTTGTCATGGCGTATTTCAGATAAATCCTCAAAAGTGCTATCACTGGATCACCAGTAGCTCTATGTTCAGTTTTTTTGAGGAATCTCCATTCTGATTTCCATAGTGGTTACACTAATTTACATTCCCACCAGAAGGCCAATATTTTAAACATCAGGAACTTACACTTTTGTTTTCACAAGAATTTTTTTGTATGTGTATGTGCGTGTTAGTCTTGCCACTTGTACTCAGGGTCTGGGCACTGTCCCTGAGTTTTTTTCTCAAGGCAAGTGATCTGACACTTGAGCAATAGTTCCTCTTCCAGCTTTTTGATGTTTAACACGGGCTTTTTTTTTCTTCTTCTTCTTTTTTGCCTGATCTGGCTTCAAATGTGATCCTCAGATCTCAGCCTCCTAAGTAGCTAGGATTACAGGCATGAGCTATGGGCATCCAGCCTCACAAGGATATTTTTATAGTGCCTCTTAACTTTTTTCAACATAATGTATAAAGCAGTCTCAGTACTGAGGGCCTGAACTCTGCACCTGGGCACTGTCCCTCAGCTCTTCAGCTTAAGGCTAGCACTCTATCACGTAAGCCACAGCACCACTTCTGGGTTTTTCTACTTATGTGGTGCTGAAGAATTGAACCTAGGGCCTCATGCATGCAAGGCAAACATTCTACCATTGAGCCACCTTCCCAGCCTGAGTGCACATTTTTTAAAACCCTATACTAACATTATGCTCCATTTGCCTAACCATGAATTCAATATTTCAATGATATGAGTCCCCATTATATTCTACCCTGTGACTCCTTCATATCTCTCTCAAGGAGCCTCATTTCTCAACTTACCCAAGACATCTCTTCTCTTTCCATTTTGTTAGTTTTCTAGATGTGTCTGTTAGATGGTGTTCTCTCCCTGTCTGTCTCTGTCTCTGTCTCCTCTCTCTTTCTATCTGTCTGTCTGTCTGTCTGTCTCTGTCTGTCTCTGTCTCTTTCTCCTCTCATCTTCCCCCTTAGCCCAGGTAGTATTAAATCTAGAGCATTACATCTCTTACCCTTAATGGAAAACAGAATGGTATTTAGCCTCAGTCAAGATAATATTTAAATACTCATAGTCCTTTGTTATTGTGGAGTTTATGTTCCACCTACTCTTAGCTTCCATACCCACTTCCTGGGGAAAAATTTCTGAGATCCGTAGACTTGCCTGAAATAACAGTTACTTTTTGTAGGGTTGACACTAGTCTCTAATTGTTGATCAAGCTGTGTATTCATCACAATGAGGCAGTTTCGTGTTTGCTTAGTGTGCATTAATCAAGTATAGTGCATTAGTTAAGTGTATCAGCCATATACTAGGTGGTTCAAAGGAAGGAAGGGAGGGAGGGAGAGAGGGAGGGAAGAGAAGGAAGGAGGGAAGATAGAGGGATGGAAGAGAAGGAGGGAGGAAGGAAGGAAGGAAAGAAGGAAGGAAGGAAACAGAAAGATGGGATGCAACTTGATAAACATGGATTATGCTTAACCTCTTGTTGGAGAGCTGAAACATATGACTTCGCTTAAAACTCTCTAGGAATTGGAGGCATGTGTACCCTGCATTAGTCACAAGGTATTAGAGTTAAATGAAGGTGGGCGGTCCAGAATTAGAAAAAGTGTCTCAAGGTTTGCGTGGACTTTTTTAGGTTGAGGACATTAATTTGACTGATGGATGAACACTGAAGTGGATTTGCAAAGAGATGAGGTTAGTGTTCTAGTTGGTGGAGTAGCACAAATAGACACCAAAATGGAGATGAATAGCAGCCATAATTTCCCATCATGGAAATTCTTTTACAGGATTAATTCTCTGCCTTTCTATGTTGTTGTTGAGTAACTACTAATCTTCAGAATTACACTTGTACTTATGGAAATACTTTGGCACAGAATTAATCTCTCAATAAATCTGGGAAAGACTTAAGTTCCAGGCCTCCCCTCTAGCTTAATAGTGAAGTGATCTTTAGCTCATCAATCTCTCAGAACCTTCTTCTTCGTATTAATTTTGATATGCTTCACAGAGCTGTTATAATAACAGAATAGATCATGTTTGGTCCTTAGAAATCATATTGCAAATGCTAGTTAATGCCACCAAAGCTGGGTAAGAACAGACTTGGATCTCATTTCTCCCTCAATCACTTTAAGGCTTCTTAGGGTCCTTTCCTTGCATGTTGTGTTTGAGAAACAGAGAGACATTTTTTAAGGTGATCCTCAGAAGCCTTGGGATATGAAGCATCATCCATTTGTTAAGTCGCCCACTCGAGCCCCATTCGCCTTTGGTCATTGTGGGTGAGCTAATACAGGATGACAGATTTGATGGAGGCTGCGTGTACATATGGATGAGTGAGTGGCACTGCGGTCACTGTCTCCTCCATACCTAATTATTAATGATGAAATCACAATGAGAGGAGAAAAGAAAAAAATGTGGCTATTTAATAGGAAACTATTTTATCATGGTACTAAGGAACCAGGGCAGAATATCTAGTACCGTGAGATTTAACATCCTATAGTAAGAGCTTTATTTGCCTACAGTGTTCATGCTCTTTCTAAGCTATCCTGGTCTTTACTTTCTCAGTTTTAGGAAGGAATTAATTGTTAGAAAATATCTTGGTCTCTAGAGAGATTAATTTGTATTTTGTGTTCATCCACTGATAAATCAGCCTGTGTGACTTAATGAAAGTCATCACCATCTGTGGCTTCTAAACTCCTAAACCCTAATTAATGAAAAAGCCCTTAGACAGTTGTCTAAAACCTCCCTGTTTGCCCTCTCTCTGTTCCTTCTTCTCCTTTAAATATGCACAACCTTTAATACTTTACTCATCTATAGTTCAACCATCCAGTAACCTAAAAATCCAGCAAAAGAACATGGGCAGTCAGAGTCATGTGTGCATTCAGACTATATCACAGAATTTGTGGACAAGTCTCTGAAACATTCTCATCTAGATTCTGTAGATTTTTACCTTTTGTAGTTCTCACTAGTTCAATTGTATTTTCCAATATGATATTTTGTTTTATTCATGCATTCATTTGTACATTTTTATTAACATCAGTTAGTTGTACAAGGGGGTTTCATTTTAACATGTCCATTTGTGTATATAGTGTATACCTGATCACTCACATCTTCCATCATTCTCCCTCTTCCCCATCTTCCATCCCAAACTAGTTTCTGTAGCTTATTTTCACACATATAAACATAGATTATTATGGCTATATTTGCCATCCTTCCCTCTCTCCATTTGTCTATTCTGTCCAAGTGTTTAAATTTTATAATCTTTTTGTTGAACTGCATGTTA